ATGATAATAATAATAATAATAATGATAATAATAATAATAATAATAATAATAATAATAATAATAATAATAATAATAATAATAATAATAATAATAATAATAATAATAATAATAATACAAAGTGAAGAAATTGTGCTAAAGGCGGGAAATGATTATTTTTATTCGTCCAATCATTATAATTATTATAGGGTATTAACGTGTTAAGTTAAACTTAGGCCTACGGTAGTTGTTCTGGATATGACATTAAACTCTATCCAGTCGGCACCTCACTCAGAGTGTGTCTTTGTAACTGCTAAGGGGAGGGTGCATAAATTTCATTTCAGGATTTGATCTGGATTTTTATGCACATTCTTCTTCAGGCCTATGATGCGTCTATTACCATTTTTACTTTATCTGTATGTTTGTTCAATCTCTCACAACAGTCCTAAAAAACTGTTCAGAATGCGCTACTTCCCAGGGGCTTCGCTGGAGACCTTGGCAGACCCAGGCCCCAGCCATAGGGAGGGAGACACTCCGGCCAAAACCCATCCTTTGGTACTAGTACCCCCTCGCAAGACGGCTCCCCCTTTCAAAATCCTGGATACGTCCCTGCTATAAAAGTGATATTCCGAACCTATATCTTTTGTTGTCATTATTATCGATGTCATCATTATCAATGCCATCGCATTAATGTCATTATTATCGATGTTATCATTATCAATGTCATCATTATTAATTTCATCGTATTAATGCCATTAATATCAATGTTACCATTCAATGTCATCATTACCATAATTATCAATATCATCATTACCAATAGGGCCTACCATCATTACCAATACCATCATATCATAGTATCATTATTAACATCTATCAATATAATTATCATCATTAATATCATTATAATCATTATCAATATCATTATCATCTATCTAGGATAGGCCTACTGTGTAGTAAAACTCAGAGATAGTGACCTATTATAAGCGACATTCCGAAATATGGAAATAATGGAACTTCGAAATACTGACCCTAATACAGTATTGTTAGTGACATTCCGAAACTGAATTTTTTTCCCGCGATTTTTCGAGATACAAGTTAATGAATACATAATAACGTGTGTGCGTTCATTCGTTCAGATATCCAGTGGGAGGAGCTAAGTTTTGAAACATCGTTGGAATTATTAATAGGCTAAAATTAACTCTGAATTTGATTTGCTGAATTTTATGCGCATGGGCTCGGAATAGCAGTGTACCTAGCCTATAAAAGAAATAAATTGCTCTAAAAACATTCAGATATCAAGCAGTTCTCGATGTGATAGACGTGAACGAACCAAGACAACACAAGTATCAACTCTAATTGTGTATAATTAATCTACTTACTCAATAACAGTACATACATTTTTTGTAAATAATGGACAGACATCATCCTCTCGGGAAACCGATTCTGCATATTACTGAAAATGCTGTGAGCAAAATATTGAGGTACAGCAGAAATTTACAAAATTTGAAACTTGAAGATCGCGTAAAGGAGCTTAACAACTGTTACACAAGTTCATCGCTGCGTCGCGGTAAAGCTGACGTACAATTTTACAACCCAATGTACCAAGCATGTTACGTGTTTCTTTACTTCCCCGTACTATGCTACGGCACGTTCCATGGCTTACGGATGATGTGTCAAAACGACTTCAGAACATTTTTGGAAAGAGCTTCAGACGGCTGTCTAAGAGTCTGCGCGTTGGGCGGAGGGCCTGGAACAGACTTATTCGGTGTTAGAATGTTCTTAAACGAGATCGGATATGGACAAATTAGGATTAAGGCGACTGTCCTCGACAAACACCCTCATTGGCGTTTTGCATTTGGTTGTTTATCATCCCAGATAAATCGACCATCGAGCTTAACTGCTGAGTATTTTCATCTAGAGATCGGAAGTTCGACGGTTTTACATGATCACTTAAAAGCTATACTCTCCGATGCCGATATTATTACATGCAGCAAGTTTGTATCGGCTGTGAGGGTCCTCCATAACTCAAAAGAAACGCTTTTGGAGGTATTGAGATATGTTAAACCAAATGCGTACATATTTTATATGGACAATTCAAAGGGAGGTAACACAGAATTCTTTAGTTATGTTGCTCGGCGTGCGAATTTTACCCAGGTTGCATCTTTCGAACGAGGAGAGAATGATCCATTTCTGCTTCCTGAAACAGAGAATTCTAGAATTCTACAAGTGCTATCCAGTAGAGAATGGTTCAACTTCAAATCACAGCGCAATCTTCGTGTTACCTTCATGTTGTGGAGGAAAATGGGTTGATATACAAACTCAAAGTATTGAAAGGCATTTTAATCGATTTTCTATTAACCATTTTCCGACTGGCGCGCCACTATGAACAGTTTATTGTATCAGAAAGGACAATTTGGTTTCTTACACACAACTGATAGGTAATGCGAGACTTTTTTTTAATACTTTGTGTTAGCGAACCCATCGCCCGCCAATGGTTTCGAATAAAAATAAAATTGTATTTTTGGTCTGTTAGCGCACTCGCTACAAAAAATAGAAATTTTGGGGGAAAATATATTTTGCGAGTCGCTGACTTAAAATCTCCAAAAATAAGATAGGCCTACCTATATTTCTTCCTTACATAAATTTAAAGAATGTATCAATCCCATTACAGTACTACACACTGCTGCTCATCAATACAATTTTATTTTTATTTTCTCCTCCAACTGGATGCCTTTGGCAAAACTATTTGCTAAATAAGAAAACAAAGTATTTTTTCCGAGCTGCTTCGACAATTAAAAAAAAAAAAAAGTTATAGATAATGACGTCTTGACTAATTTATATTGGTTGTCATGCCTAACATGATCGACTGGCTTGACCACATCCTACAGCCTTGCTTACAAATAGGCTTATCCATCGTTTTGTATTAATATGTATGTACCACCGTATACTCGCGTATAAGGTGATCCGCGTATAAGACGACCCCCGAGTATAAGAGTTAGATGATTTTTGTATGTCGGGTATATAACACGCCTCTCTTGTGTCGAAGACTTTTTGCTGCTTTTTTATATAGTCTTAATACACTATCCAGCTGGCTAAAAAGGAGCCAAATGTAGAGCCAATCTTCCAAATAATACCATTTTATGGGCTTTTCATGTTTATCAAAATCTTATTTCATCGCATTTAAAATTGCGTTCATTCAGAGTGATAGTAGTAGCTTCATTTCAGTAGTAACGAACATGTCAATTTCAAAATCAAACTCTCTGTTTTCTGATCGTGATTTGCTATTTTAAGCCTCGTCTTATACGCGAGTATATACGGTATTTACATTTTGCATTACTGGTACTTAGGCCCATCCTCCACTCAATCTGCTAGCCTACATGTGTTGCTTTACCGGCTCATTACATTTTTATAAAAAAAATAAAAATAAATAAATAAAACCTCCAGCAGGAGCCCAAGGCTCATGTTAATAAGTTGAAAAAAAAAATTACATTTTGACTCAACTTTTTAACATTGTCACTTTTTGCACAAAAGTGCTTATGTTTCATTTTCTGTATAAAAATGTTTTCCCCTCCACGACAGTTTCGTTCATCTCTCAATGGGTACAGGTGTCCACAAGGGGCTGGCACAACTAAAACTAATTTTAAAGTATAACTCGTGCTCCCGCTAACTATGAGCCTAAATTTTATTTCTGTGTTTTGTTTAAATTTACGGAGTTAATAATGTAGATAGCAAAATAAAAACAAAGGCTCCCAGCAGCACCGTGTGTACTGCTGCATATAGGCCTAGTTTTTGTTTCGAGCTATTTTCAAGTGGGGACTCGATTATTGTAAAATTATGGAGAATCGAAATATTGTAAAACATTATTTCTGATCGACTATTGTCATTAATTGATAATAGTTTTCAAATTTTGTTTTCATTTTTTTTTTCTTTTTCTTTGTTTTTTTTTTGTCAAAAGGGTCGAAATGAGATGTACAGTATTGCATATAACTTGATCTTAATGGTGGTCTTGTTGTAGTACCGTAGTTGCTTTTTTATGCACATTATTTTAACTCTTACATGTTTAACAAAAATATATTGATTAAATAAGGTACAATTTTATGTCTATGCAAAAATTATAATGTAGTGTAAGGTGGTCTATGCACCCGATAGATAGCTTTAAAACATTTTTATGGATTACTGTACTGTATATAATTTTTTTTTCGACGAAACCTTCAGTAAATTAATAGCATATGATTTGATAAAAACAAATTAAATACGACCATTTACCTTGTACTGTAGCAGATATTTTATGCATGTACTTAGTAAATAAATATTATATATATATATATATATATATATATTATTATACATATTATCTAATATGTTATATTATTAGGCCTATGTATTTTTTTTTATTTTACTAAATTTTAACATTAAGTGTAGTTTCATTTTTATTAGTTTGCTGTCTTTCCAATAACATTCTGTAAGATGTTTTTTCTCAATATAATGATGAAGAAATAATCCATTTGTATCTGTGATGTGCCCAAATATGGGCATGATGTTATATCACTCTTGTATATGAACCAATCATTGATATTTGTTAAATAAATTTGATTGTGTAGACAATTTTTGATTAAAGCTTCATAAAACAATGAGATATTTATGATGATCTTTGTGTAGTATTAAAGTTTTAAATTTGCCCCATTTTAAATACCAAAATTATGAATGCTTGGTTTACTACAGATTTTATAGAAGTGTAGCTTCAAATGGTTGATCTATAAGCAAAATTATACATTGTAAGCATTTTTTTTCTTTGGTGGAAGGGCCCCTATTCGATATTGGTGTGTTCTGTCTCATCTTGTTCCTTGCTCTTTCTGTTCTCGTAAATTTTAATGTTTTTGAGAAAAATAAATGAAATGAAAATCAAAATCATCAAACTGTCCAATGTCAATCTGTTGCACTCGATCAGTTTTCTGTCCGTCAAATACCACTTGGCAGATTATGTTACATCATCAACAAATATTTAAAAACGTATCGAGAAGTAATTCATTTGTCAAAGTTTTAATTCATTTAAAAAATGTACATCTAGTTATTCTTTACACACGGGAGAATTGAATGGGAGTTAACTCATTTCATTGACTCTCTCTCCTTAATCATAGCATTTTTGTTGAGTTGAAAAATATGCCTTCTACCTCATAGCAGCAAGCATGGTGACAGTAACACATACATCTCTTAAGCTCCGATTTAAAATTGGAAAAATGTGCACACATCTATTACGATAGTTTTATTGATATCATATAATAATAAGTAGGAAATAACACATATGTGTGTACCTCTGTACATCAATTTCACATTTTCCTTAAACATCATCATAATTTTATTATCATTATTTTAGTTTTTTGACATGATTTCCCATCTACAATTACTAAAGCAAAAGAGAACATAATAAACAATGCACGTCACTTGACTACGATTATTTTGCAGGGGATATGCTCCGATTCAGGATTAACTCCCTTGTTTTACAGCGATCACAGTATAACATCCTAGAACACGAGGAACAAAATATAAGAAATAATCCCCAACAGAAGTTAATTCTTTGCATCTTGAAAATGTCTATAATTCTACATGAAGCATTTTCATGAAAGGTCACCATGACCCCATCATTATCCTACCTATACAAACTGATATATTATTTTGAAAAGTTTTCTTAGCTACAAAATTCCAATACCATTTTTCAGACAAGTTAAAACATTACAAGTATTCCATATTTCTTTGAAACCTTGTCTTGATTTGTCAATACATCATAAGGAATGACAATGGAAATATAAAATAAAATATCAATAATAAAACTTACATTCTTTTCTCAAATTTTTTTTGTACTTTTTGTTCTGAAAAAGAGATGATTTTTTTCAGATAGGAATACAAAGTTATTTTCAATTTAATTACTTTTTCTGTTCAGTATTAACAATTACTACAAGTCCTTTGTTTTATATACTAAAGATTTTATAACTGGTCAACCAGTCGTGATAATTGGTCCTGATTTGACATTGCCCCTAAGTCCTGGTCTCCTTGTTGGCCTAACGTTGGGTTGGTAGCTGGACTTTGTAGCTGGCTCATACCCGGGGCTTGTGATAGCATGCTCTGGTCAGTTTGCATGGCATCAGGAACAACACCACCAGGGTGCGGGGAGTGCGTTTGGGACGCAGGGTGGGGAGATTGCTGTGCAGAATGAGTCCTTGGTGAAGGCACTGGTTGAGACTGCGGCCTCGGCGGAGGATTCGGAGACCGCACCTGCCCTAGCGAATTTGCCGCGGTAGCCATTGTTTGCGGCGACCTGACTTGTTGCATAACTTGTTGAGGGGATCGGCCCCCTATCATTGGTTGCTGTTGACTTGGCACCATACCCTTTGCTTGGTTTTGCATTTGTTGATTTTGAAGCATTTGTTGAAATGGGAGATTATTGGCACCTTGCATGTTTACATTGTTACCTTGCTGCAGCTGATGTAACTGCAACATCAACTGCTGCTGCTGTTGTTGGTTGCGTCTTTGTTGCTGCAGCTGTGACTGAACCTGTGCTTGGTTAAATGGATTCATTTGAGTATTCTGCTGCATCTGCTGCGCCTGCATCTGTTGCTGTTGCTGCTGCATCTGAGGCTGCATCTGGGACTGTATTTGAGTCTGTTGACTTGCAAGACGGGCTTGTATTATCCTCTGCTGCTGCTGTTGCCGCAACCACTGTTGCCTCTGCTGCTGTTGCTGTTGCTGTTGTTGCTGCTGCTGCTGCTGTTGTTGCTGCTGTTGTTGTTGCTGTGGAAATTGTTGCTGTGGTTGTCCTGCTTGCTGTGGCAAACCTTGTTGCTGCTGCTGAGATCTCTTAATGAACGCGGCCATAAGTAATGGATTTGATTTTAGGATGCTCATCACTTGCTTCTGCTGCTGAGGCGAGGATGGTGATTTCAGAGTCTGAAGAAGTTGCTGCAAAAGTTGTGGTGAAAAGTTAGGTCGCTGCATTATACCACCTTGCATGGTAGGCTGCATTGTACCTTGCATTGGCATACGCACATTAGGATTATTCTGAATAGACTGCATGGTAGACATTTGCTGCATGTTTGGATTAGCCATTTGTGGCTGCCAATCCATTTGCTGTTGCATCATAGGATTGGCAGCACTATGATTTTTGAGTGCCAGCTGTTGTTGCTGCTGCATGGTGAACAGGACCTGTTGCTGCTGTTGTTGCTGTGGCTGTTGTGGGGTGGTCATCTGCGACATGTGACCTCCTAGTTGGTTCTGCATTGGCTTTCCTGTTGGTCTCATTGCGTTAGGAGCCCCTCTTAATGATGCCTCCCTTGCTGCCTGCTGCACTTCGTGGGCGGCTCTGATTGCACCGACTGGTGGAACTAGTTGGGGCTTCATGCCAGATTGTGGATCCATGCTGGCCGGATGTTGAGGCTGTTGGACTTGTTGAGGAACAGGAGGAGCAGGTTTAGCTGCAACCTCCTGACTCGACTGAATGGCACCTGCTGATGGCTTAGTAACCTGTGTTTGCGGGATAACCGAGGGGGCAGTCTGGGCCTGCATAGCAGCCATACGCCGACGCAACATTTGCGCCTGCTCAAGTCTCTGTTGTAACTGTTGTTGACGTAACTTGTGCTTAATATTTACACAGAATGGTACAGGGCATTTCTGCTCTGAGCAATGTTTTGCATGATAACAGCACAGCGCAATAAGCTGTTTGCATATAGGACAGCCTCCATTAGTTTTTCTTTTGCAGCTTTTTGTATGTTGTACAACACGTTTCATTTTCTGGCAACTTGCCATGCGACAATTAGCATCACGACACTGGCAAGCATGAACCAACGATTGGATGCATCTGCGAATGGATTCTTTGCGTGCATCCTGTGGATTTCGCATACCACCCTTTCCTCCATCCACATCAATCTCAAGACCCCATTTCTCCATTTTATGTTCATGTCCAAGTTTACCATAACAAGGTACACAGAGATCATAATCCTGCAAGACAAAATGAAATATTTCTATGAGGACACAAGAATATTATCATATAAATTGATTCTCTTCAAAAACATGCAATTCTCCTGCAGAATGGATTTAATATTAATTTAGGACAGTTAACTTAGAAGGTAAGTATCACAACTGCCAAACTTTAGCTTCAATACACAAACAAGATAAAAATTATTCCATTTACAGAAAGACAAGCATTACACGATTTACTAGGCCTAATGTCAACATGTATTTCAAAAATTCATCTGTAATACAAACAGGAAACCAAACTTTGTAGGAAGAAATAGAGCATTCAAATTATGTTGGTTCAGTGCCAAGAAATCCTTTTCAAATATTCAATGCAATTTTGGTGAAAGCCATCATTAAATTATTATTATTCACAAATAATGGATCAATCTGATTACATTGCATTATTTATATGACCATGCAAGAATTTGAGGGATGCCTTCTTCACTTTTTCTCTCAACTCCATATTTTATATTCGTTAGTTTGTGCCTAAGTATGAAAGTTGTGACAGATTTGGTATTACACAATTTACACTAAAATTTAATGAATTATTATTTTCAAAAAAAAATTTCAGGAATTTTATATACTAAAAAATCGCAGTCAGTTATTGTACTGAATAAATTAAGAATGTGGGCTTACATGCATATTCAAAGCATAATTAAAATGTAAGTTGAGAAATTGTTAATGGAAAAGGTTGGATTTTGTATAAGAACAGCTAAATACTGATAAAAAAAATTGATATAAATAGATGAAAACCATTTCCAGTTTTACTTACATCACAAACCAGACAGTGGTATCTTGTTTCAACATGATTTTTACAATGGTTACAAGTATAGACAAACTTCTCTTGGCCTTGGTTGTGTAGTTCTACAAGCATGACCATAGTAGAGTTTTTGGCTCGTCTTAACGAAGAAAATTCAAGGTGTTTGTCCCTAGCTAACGTCAAGAAGGCATCACGTCCATCCATCAAGTCGCAGCTGATGTAGCTATCTGGATCCTGAATAGGCTCAGTGTTCTGACCAGGGTTGTCGCAGAGGCGGATAACAAAGAAAACCTGCAAAAACAGTCCATAAACTAATGGCTTGATGACTACTATTAGCTTAACACAAGTGCTTTTAACATGCTGAGTGCTACATAGAATTGTTTTTCCAAGAATACTGTGGAGAGACTGTACTTTTGTATCTGTATGATATAAAAATGGGAGCTGTAATTCTCAGGATCAATTTATTACACTTGCAATAATAATCACATGTTAAGCTTGTGACTCAATTCATGGTTAATGACCTGGAAACTTTGGCAAAAGTTCAACTATTTGAAACAGTAAACAAGTTATACAATTGCTTCAATGAAATAGTAATGTAAGTTTAAGGAATAAGAGAATGACATTAATGAGATAACATTACAATAATAGAACTTATAGAACATATTCTAACATAAATTTTATCTCAAAATAAGTAACATCTCCCAATTACGGACCACCCAATTACAAATTCTTGATTTTATGAACCCAATTTGTGGTGATGACATACATCATTACAAAACAATCGTTTTTAACTACAAAAACACTTAAAATTGTATTAAAGTCTTATAAAAATAATATAAAATGTTACGTCAGAAAGAAAATATTTGAACCAGTAAAGTGACGTAAAACAAAAGGTATTATAACGTCTTAAAAAATAACATAAAATGTTACATCAGCTAAGAAAGGAAACTTTTAAACCAATAAGTAACATAAAAGTTTAAAGCAGGAAATATCAATCGTTTTAAGCCGTGCATGCTTGTTCAGGCATATTGTACAGTAAATCTCACTTTTTGTTCATTGGGGATGCTCTTCACCTGGATTCGTGATCTTCAAGAAGAAAATAATACCACTCGTTTTGGCCATTTTATGGTCATTCGGAAATCTCATCAAATGAGATACTCCACCGTGAGCACAGGCAATTTTGACTTCTGTAAAGTATTTTGTTACTGAAAACAGTAAAATCCAAGGCATATTTTGTGACAAAATTTTGCCCCCCATTACAAGGCTTAGGCCTACCTAGCCCTGTACCTTGTAGCATAGGCCTACCATCACCACACCATCTGATTTATAAATTTTCTCATTTACGAACTCTGTTCGGACGGAGGGTACGTAATTGGGAGAAGTTACTGTACAGGTATACGATTAAGAAGTGATACCCACGGAATGGAAAAATAGTGAGACAGAATATACATTGCTTTTTCATGGGTTCATAATGTTTTAAATTTTATCTGACATGTTCGAGACAAATGTGAGACGTTCTGAAAACCCACTTTCCTTGGTGCTGGATATTAAAATATTCTCAACTCTTAAAAATAGTTTCTTGTACTATTGTACTTTAATTTACTATTCGCAGCATAATGACCAAGTCATTGTTTTTATTGTCATCATAAACTTGATAATTTTATATGAATAGATATTTAAAACCTACCTCTTTATGTTTTTCCATGGTGGTAAAAAGTTTCTGAGATAAGTCGCTGCCTTGTTGAGGAAAGTTGCTCTTTTTGTTGTTCTTTGTCCTGGGGTTATTTTTGTTCTTCTTGGCTTTCTTCTGATTTTTCTGATTCTTCTGGTTTTTCTTATTCCCGGTTTGACTCTGATAAAATATAAACAGGAATTATATAATGATATACATGCATTTTACTTGCAATAACATTTAGAATCAAATTAATTCCAGAATTTGAAATTAACAAATTAATGGTACTACAGCAGAATACCTCATCAACAGCAGCACTGGCAGCTGCTGCCGCCTCTGCAGCCTTCTGTCGTTCTTCCTCCTCTTGATCCAGTTCTTTGATGCTTTCTTCAAGGACGTTTGGCCAGAAATCACCTTCAAAGTATGGCAACTGATTGGCACCAGTAAGCCCATCATCTAATGCAGATTTCAGGATATCCTAAATAATAAAAAAACATTGAATTTTAAGGCATAACTTATCGGATAACATGATTTTGAGGTAATATATAATTACAATTAATTTCTTATTTAATGCACTAACACAAAAAGTACATAACTTTCAACACTCAAATTTAGGGATTGGTAGGCTTTATCTTGAGAAACTACAGAATAAAGACTTGTAAGATTACCTTGTAATCAATTACTACTTTGTCTTGAATAGCTTTGTCTAGCATCTTCTTATACCATTCTTGGAGCCTCTTGGGTTTTGGGATCTTCTGTTCCGTGGGGTGGCAATGAAAGATGTAGTCATCCCCTTCACTGGGTGGACAAGCCCAAATGTGAGCCCATTCATACCTGGAAGTTCAAAGAAGCAATTTTAGAAACAAAAGAAAGCGCGCAGATATTGAGATTGTGGTAGTATTTCGTATTTGACAGATTCATTCAGAATCATTCACTTGAAAACCCTGCTAAGAGTCGAAAGTCATGGATTTTAACGCAGGAGTCCCAATTCCCCAGCAATTCGCGGGAGGCTACTAGAAATCGAGAAGGCTTTCCGCACTCTCGCAAGCAAGAAAAAAACTCCAGAAAAACAACAAATTCACAATATTGCATGTTTCTATTACTGTATTTTCACAATTGTCTTCCTGAAGTCATTCCCAAAGAGTACTGACTTGGTATCACGATGCACAGCATAATATAATTTATCAAAAAAACTTGCAAATTTTAAAACATTGTCAATTAGGGTAGCCATCAAGGTTACTCATTTTGAAAAACCAAATGAAAGCCTATTTTAAGATATAACCTACTTTAAGATATATCAAGGATGACAGGTAATATTGAATTTCAGATATTTCCCAATGCTAATGACAGCGTGGAGTATAATGGTGACAATAATGGTGACAATAATTGTGACAATAATTGTGACAATAAAGCCAATTGGGAATTATGATGTACTTATTAGGATGACTAGTTAGAACATCTTATGAACAACCTGGACAACCTCTATTGGATGTAATATAATAAAATCAAAATTAAAATAAAGAAGTTTTTTTCTCTTAGTTGTAAAAATGGCATGTAAAAAGAGGTATCTTATAATGATTGCGTTGGCCATGCCCGACCGACCCAAAATGTATGAAATTGAGGTTCGGCATTTCATTTATTTATTTTCTATTTGACAACAAAAACTATTTATTTAATGAGCTAAAAAGGCTGGAATAGGCCTATCTTGCTGGACAGTAGGCAATTCAACACTCTTATGCGATCATTTTTCTCTTCAACATAGATTTAAAAATGGTCTTTGCTGTATGTTTGTGTATTTCCTATTTTTTTTAGGCATAGGCCTAAACACATTATTTGTAATTACCGAAATACCCAGTTTTTGGATTTTCCTAAAACGTGGCCAACACAAGAATTCTTTTTTTGGCTTTATTCCGGTAAGCTTATAATTTAAGTTACACACTTATTCAGGTTGGTTTACAGCTATGTCACAGTCTAATGAATTTTGGCAACTTGCATTATGACTGGCTTTTTCTGTCGGTATATTGTAAATTGTCTCCCCCCCTCCACTCCAAATTCTACTTACCCTATACATTTGACATATTCCAGATAGCCTATAAGAATCTCGTGATAAACAGCCGTTCTGTAAGCACGAGGTTGGAAGAAATGTACACTATCTAGGTAGGCAATATAAACTCTCCTGTTGAGGAAAACAAAATAAAAAATATTAGTAAGACCTTTTGGGATGTAGGAAGCTGAAAAAAATTAGTTCATCTGAATGAAATATAGAATAACCCATAACTCACATCGCCATTATGGTTAAATTGTATGGGCGTAGCAGTGTTAAGGGACATATTCCTATCATTCCACAAAAGGGGCTGAAATAATCCATACCATTGGGGTAACCCCATACTCATAACCTTAAGGAAAAGTGCTGAATTAGTGCTTGTAACATACAACATTCCTGTAATAACATTTCCCGACAACTTATTATGTATGTCACACTTATATTTAAAAAAATTAGTACAGGAATTTTGAGATCATTTATTGAAAATGACCTTAGAAATGTCTGCCAATTAGCTAATAAAATCCATAAAACTTACCGACTGTTTGGTTGCGGACAATCTGCACCATATTCTTGAACATGCATACCAAAGAAACACACATCGACACCTTCAATCTCTTCAAATGCAAATAAGGCTTTGGCACGGTAAGGAAAATCCGTTGGGAATTCTCCTGTATCACAAAATCTGTTTATATAAGAGAACAAATAAATGAGTAAAGACACACCTCTCCAACATTTCATATTTTAGTTGTCTTTGTTTTGTTTTATGAACTTCTACTATACCAGTTTCCCTCTAATTAAAGATCCCTCCAATTAAAGATTCTCCAATTAAAGACTGCTTTTCTGTGGTCCCATTTTAAAACGTGTCTTATCTTGATTACTCCAATTTGAGACCAAAGCTGCTAAAGACCATGGAAAGTCCAGTCCCAAAAAGTGATCTTTAATCGCAGGGAAACCAGTATTTATATGTTTGTCACTTGTTCCAATATTCTCAAAAATCTGACACCGTAGATTTTTTTTAGTTTGAATACTCGATTCAGTGTTAATAACAAAGAGTTCTATATACAATACAAAAAACAATAATGGTACTTGCCTAGATTTCATTCCAGGTTTAATTTCAACCATTTTGTCAGAACTTGATAACACTCTGATGGTAACTTCCCCTGCCCCCGAACACCGTGTCCGAAGATATTTATTGACCCTATTCTCAAGATGTGTACCTAATTTGGTTGTTGGCAGCTCTGCAAGACAATGCAAACATACATGAGTAAATGTTACTAATCTGCAGCAAAACTTGCAATCATCAAAAGTTAAATAACAGTGGGTCTGTATTCTGTTAAAATAGCATCTCCATGGTAAATTTTAATGCAACTTCTTCACATACTCAGTTTAGGTTATGTTTTTCTTTTTATCATTATGTGAAAAGATGATGAATGAGCTAAGGTATATGTAATTTGTAAATGAAAATTACTCACTTTTGGATACAAACTTGTGTTCTTTCTTTTTTATTCCTTTTGTTTTCTTACAATTCTCGCAGGTGAAGCTTTTGTAACAGAAGATAAATGCAAACACTTAAAATTATGATCAATTAGATAAACAAATAAAATATAACTACATATATAATAACAATCATACCATAACAGCATATAAAACATAAGCAAAAAACGGGCAACTGAGAAAGAAAAATCTGCCCTGCACCTGAATACTGAACAATATGAAAGCCATGTATGTGCAATTTCTTTATTTTTATTTATGCTCCAAGGTAAAAATTTTCAGGACCTTGTCCTTTTCTTACAAAATTTTAATCTCTTTCTTCGATTTTTATGTACCATTCCACTAAATTTTATGATAATCTATGCCTTTATTTTTTGCGTAATCTTACTAACAGACATACCGCGGTGAACACATAACCTCCTTGGCGGACGTAAAAAATAACCTGACTAGCAAGATAGAAACTTACCCTTCTGGCCAAATTGTGTCATTATGCAGCACACAGATTTGATGCAGCCTTCTCCCGCACTCCATGCAGTCAACAAATCTGTGGGCAAAGGGAAAAAAAAACAGATGACAGGCAGAAGCATCAACAGTTCACCAATTCTTATGTGACAAAATTTGTGATCTGCCAAAAAATATTGTTTAAAGCTCTGTCCAAACTATCGTGTTTTATGTGACAAATAAATGTGATATTGCCATATTCGGGTGTGATATGGCACATCACACAAATTTGTCACATAAAATTTCATATTGTGGATGGAACTTAAGAAACATCCTACAAGCACAATTAGCATAGTTCTATATAGGAGATGTTACTTATTATTTATTATTTATTATTATTATTATTATTATTATTATTATTATCAAGTACCTTATTATTTTAAAACAAAACTATGTTATTTACATAAGCAGGGAAGGACCTTACAATCACAGAAAAAAAATTCAGAAATCATATTACAATCAGAGCAATATATTATAAATAAAGCTTAAAATACAATTAAGAATTAAACTATATAACAAAAATAACAAAACAAAACAATAATAACAAAAATTAATAAAATTAATAGGATAACAGTTTTCAATACACTATTAATATTATTACTTTTTAAAATTTAAACAAATAAAATGTAATAAGTGGACACTTATAGCACAAGTATAATAATCAGTGGTATGACCTTTGCTATTATTAAACACCGCCCTCAAGATGGCTAAATATTAACTAGTGTTGACAGCTACTTACGGTTCAGGATCTAGAGCATCATTTTTCATCTTGGTAAACTGGTCCTTCTTGATGCTTCTACAAAATTAAAAAAATCACATCATTAACATCTCACTTTTCAAAACAATAATTATTAATTATTAATAATAATTAACAATATTATTATTATTTTATTTATAGGTTGCATAATAATTTTAGTACAAATACGAAGAAAATATAACTAGACATTAATGAAACATGTTGTTTGCACTCTCAAAACATCAAACAAAACTATCTGACCAATCAGAACACAGTATTAAGTAGGCGTGTTCATGAATATGTAAATGTCTGCAAAATAATGTCTTTGTAGGAACATGGCACTGTATCCAAGGTAGACGAATCTCCTTGTATGAACCTTTTACCTAGGTAGAAACTTAAAATCACAGTAGTCAATTAAATAGTGAAGAATGAATAAGAAAGTAGTATTATTAGTAAAGAACTCAACTATTAAGCTGTCCAGCTGTACATTTTATTATGACAAAAATATGTAAAATGCCTAAATATGGTCATGACATATCATGACTATATATGGGCATATAACAGTGTTTTGTCAAAGAAAATTTGATAGAGTGGACATAGTTTTAAATTCTGCATGTAACTAATAAATATAAATTTCATCATTGCAAATACTGTGATTTTAAATTTTTATAAAATCCAGGATGACACTTACCACAAAATGTGTTTTGTTGCACCAGAGAGCAAAAAAGTAAACTGCCACAATTATTTATTACATATTTACAACATAAATTTTGCAATTTTAATAACTGTCTTGAATAGGTAAGTGGTTAAGATGTTTGCCTTTCGATCCCAGGGTCATGTGTTCAATACCTCTCATGGTAACAGGATTACTCACGACCCAATGCTACGTCACTCGCTAATTCTCGTGAGTCTATATGAAGCATCGTGTTTGTATGTATGTTTGTCTTGTGAAGGGATTGCTGAAGCGATCAAATTCCAACCTATTTTGGCTACTTATCTCAATTTAGCCTGAGGTATATGCAACAAAACCATGTTGTGGTCTACATTCACATATGAGATTTAACATAATAAACTTTACTTACGTCTGTTGTAACTGAGTTGGATCATCTCCTAATGATACATGGTCGGTAGAAATGTCGGCGAAGCACTTCTCACAGAAGTGATATCTGTCAGAGAGAATGCCAATACCCGATGAGCTAGATGGATGCATATGTGAAGGCACAGCAGATGCATTGAACGAGGACACGTATGGCACAGGGCATGTGATAAAATGCGTAGCCCACATGCAAGGTGTACATACACGGACAGGAAAATGAAGGAGAAAAAAAGGGAGAAAAAGAAGATGCAATAACAGTGCGTTAACTATAAAATGGTTACTAACCAACTGAAAACTATGCATGCAATGAACATGTTCAGCATATTAATAAGACGATTTTAGAGCTCTCACAACACTATCAAATTTTATGTGACAAATAACTGTGATATGTCCATATTTGGTTGTAATATGAGAAGATCATATTCATATATAGGCACATCACAAAAATTTGACAGTGTGGCCAGAACTTAATGTAGTGTCAATTGCTGGTATTTGCTCAATTTAAATAAATATCACAATTATTGAATTTGGAACAAATTTAGATTTCTAAATTTTTTGAAATTAAATTGCTAAAAGAAATGATAAAAATATAGGAAAAAGATCCCCAAAGTCAGTCAGAGCCCACAACGCACAAATTAATTTAGGCAAGAGACAAAAGTTGTTTTTTTTTCATTCAGTATTAAAATAAATCAAGAATTGAAAGAGTTGAATTCTTTTAAAGAAAACAAACATCAATTCTAAAATAATCAGAACAACATTTAAAGAATATTTGGAATTGTGAGTAGCGAGGTGGCAGAAGAATAAACACCAACCCATGATTGAAATGGAATAAACACCAACCCATGATTGAAATGGAATAACCTTGTTAGTCAGTAAAACAAACTAAACAAGATGTAGAAATGTATTTATCGCAAGCTGGTTAGTAGAATATTGGCATATATACCTCGACACATACACATCAAAAGCCATACATTCCTCAAAATTCATATAAATAATATGTTGCAAATTGTTTAATTAAAATATTTACTTACTAAACAAATTTAATTTAAAAAAAATGTTTAAATGGTTGTTATATAATGTTTCAGTAATTAAAATGTTAGCAATTGTAGATAAATTTTTATTATATAAACAAATGAGGTATAAAACAAATTCCCAGCAAAAAAGCCAAATAACTGCAAAGCATCAATAGCAAATGAAGCTACATGTATTTTTAATGGTTAACATTGAGGAAGAAGCACAGCATAAAATTGAATAAACCATTAATTGTAATTTTTTCATCATAAAATTAACGGAATCAGAATTTCATTATCAACACATGAATCTCATTGGACAAATCTTCGTGATTCACTACTTTTCTAATGCTTTGTCAACACTACTAAATCTATTATATGCAACAAATTTGTGTGATGTGCCCATATATAGGTATGATGTTGTCATATTACACCCAAATATAGCAATATTACATTAATTTGTCAAATAAAATTTGATAGTGTGGACAAAATGTTAAGACTTAAATCTTCAGAACCTGTGATGTGTACATCACTCTCTTTAACACTCTTCTCACCGAACACGGATTTCTGTGTTTGGTAATGCAACGCTTGAACATCAAACACGGAGATCTCCGTGTTTTAGGTTTTTTTACAGAATGCGATAGATGGGGTAATTACCGACATGTACTAACAATAAGAACACTGCATTCAGTCTGGACTGTAAGTATTTCACTCTTTGTTTACATTAGCATAGAGCGGTATTGATTTACTTTCACAAAATCGCGATTATCTCGGCTCTGTTGTGCGAAATTGCGTTAAATCTCCAAAAGTGAGTCATTTTCATTTTACTGTTACAGGTCACATATCGTGATTAGAATAAAGTGTTTGGTACCATTGTAAAGCTTAAATGTTTGTAGTTCTTGTAGTATTTACTACATGTCAATCTGATCGATTACGCACTCTCAACGAGCTTCGGAAAAGTGTTAAAAAAAACAAAAAAGTGGTGGTAACTGACACTATTTTTCAAACCCCTGGGGGTCAGAGTGTTAATAGAAATTATTTTTGTTATAAATTAATTGACCAAGCCTTTGAAAATGCAATATCATTTAAGTACAGGATTTAAGCACTCCATCACCCTGCACTCAATGACAATATTTTAAATACATTTTAAATATTAAGCAAAGAAATTCCTATATATTTTAAATGCCTTTTAATAAAAAAAAAAAGTCAACTTACCTATTTTGATACGTAAAATATGTTGCATCTCTTGGAATTGTACAAAGTTGCTTCCCATAACAAACAAGAACTTGAGGATGGAAAACATGCTGTAAATAGACATAGTCATTATTAAAAGGTGGTTTAATAGACATTTGGATGTTATTTTAATTGGCCTGTTGATTTGAGGAGTGCAGGTGGGTACCTGGTAAGGTTAAATGCCAAAATGCGCTGATGTAGTTCTGGTACTGGTATTGGGTATTTATATTGCGCCTTTCCCTTGCGGTTATGAAGCGCAAGCCAAGCCTCAATAATTCAGGAAAACAATGGTCATTATTTAGTTGCTGCTACGATATGGAATACTCCCCCAGGGAGCTTGAGTTTGTGTTCCATGGGCATTTAATCCAATGACCGGGGTAATGATAATGTGAAGTGCATAGAGAGCTTAAGAATATATGCGCTATATGTCTACCATTATTATTATTGTATCTTGTTTTGCATGTTTGAAATTCTTGTTTTTAGTATTTTACTTGCCATTTTAATATATATTTTATCTATATGGAACAATTGTTTTTTATAAAATTTTAATGACCAGAAAAATGTACTCGCATTTATTTCCACATTGGACAAATAAAATTGAATCTGAATTTAAAATGAATCCATCTTAATTTCAGTCACAATTTTAGAAGAAATTACAGCATACCTTAGTACCGCAGCAGAATCCAAGCTTCTGCATAACTGGAGTAATCTCCATTTCAAACACTTCTCCTAACTTAGCGCAGTACTTATAAACTCTGGAGGTTTTACGGTTGTACAGCCAGGCGTTCTCAAACATCAGCCAGACATCATTTACGTACTGCCACGGGTCTGTATACTGTCCAGTATCAAGTCGCCTCTTGATCGTGGACAGATCCATCGGACGTTTTACGATATCAAAATAGTCCTGAAAAGAGATTTAATATTTTAATGCATTATTTATAATTGCTTATACTGTTTACCAGATGAAAATATATAAAATTGGAGAAACCGGTGATCCTTTTTCTATTAAAAAGGTTAACAAATGATGTAGATTGTGTAGTAATGGCAAGAAGGGTTTGTACGGCACGGCATTATAAACTTACCGGAATCTGGAGGAACTTTGGATCAACTGGTTGGCGGAAGGGTAGTGATTCTGGGTCCTGTCTAAATAGCTTCTCAAGAGTTGGCATCAATGCTTGTCTTAGCTCATCAGGTTTAAATTCTGCATAAATAAATAACTATATTAACATCTATCATACTTTGATACAAAGACAACTTTTGACGGTATAAATAATAAGAATGAACATTTTAATGATTCACAATATATTAAGATCATTTTGATAAATCTAAATTTTTAAAGTGATCCCTGAATATGATATAAGAGCAATTAAAAATAACAGAAATATGGAGCAATGTATGTCTTTGCAGGGATGTAGCCACTCAGCCTTGAAGTTATCCACCAGGTCTAAAGCTACCCGATTCCATGGATTTCCAGCAACCTCTATTAACACCATGCTCATTAAAATCTACTCTTATTATTTTAAGTTAATCAATGTTATCACTTATCACCCTTAAAATGTCTACCACCCTTTTCTACAGCTACAACCCTTCTTTGGTATATTAAAAAAATATATATATTTCAAATGCCATTTCAATCACAAATTGAAGTTTTACATTTGTACAAACCTTTTTTGTTTCGCGGAACCTTTGCTGTTACTGCACCACTCTCTGTTTTAATAGCTTTTGTATCATCCGAGTTATCCTCTGTTTTAACTTTGACAGGGGTCACAGCGGATGTACATGCACCACCTTTTGCTGCAGCAGCACCACCGCCTTTGGCACCGGTGCTGCCGCCCTTACTGTTGGAAGGCGTTGAAGGCTCGCTCTCCATCTTCACAATACCCATTGAGCAGGTTTCCCCTGAAGTGGAGCCCGGTTCAGATTTGATTTGAGTGATGTTGGATTTGTCACTTGAAATGGAGGGGCTAATAAACGGCTTGTCCACTGTGTCGTTGGACAGGTGCTGGTCAGTGACTGATGGTGGGTTGCTCTTGCCTCGTGACAATCCCTCAGATTTGCCATCCGTTGACACTGTGTCAGAACTCTGTAAAAATGATTAATGAAATCCTTAATAATTAAAATTATACTATGAATTCCTATTAAAAAAGATAAATTTCTACTAATTGAATTCAATGAATCACACATTTCCGATTCACAGACTCATGAAGATCCTTAAATTAAGAGCCAATTTAATGGTAAATAATTTTGCATTTTTTAATTCTCAAAAAATATATCTTACTCAAAATAATTTTCTTAATTGAAAACTATTGAGTATGTAATTAAAGTATTGAACTTTTTAAAATTATTTAGCTTAAAGCCCTGTCTAGACTATCAAATTTTATTTGACAAAAACATGACATCACATCATGACCAAATATAGGCACATCATGACCAAATATAGGTACTTCATGACAACGGTTTTTTTGTAAAATATAATTTCATGTTCTGGATAGAGAAGATCTTATATCTTTAATCAATACATCAATATAAATGTTAACTTTGACTTACGATTGCGGTTGCATTGTCCATCGTGACTCCAGATAATGCGCTGGGCAAGACTTTACCGCCACTATGCGCTGTACTGGTACCACCGTTGTCTCCCACCCCTTTACTAGCACCAGCATTGCCTACCGGAGCATGGGGCAATGCACTGTGGGATGAGCCCACACTACTCTGAGACATTGTTGGAGATGGTATTGGTTGGCTGGGTAGGCTGTTGTTACCTGTAATTGGCATCTGTGGAAGCAAACGTCAATCAGACTTGTAATAAAATTGAAGGTTTGAAGTTAAAAACAACATACTGTATTGTGACATGCCCAAATACGGTCATGATGACATCACTTCATGACCATAATCATATATAGCCACATCTGCACTATATATGGAGATACAACAGACTTAAGTCAAAGAAAATCTGATAATCTGGACAATGCTTAAAGCTCTATATATGGTCATGATGACATCACATCACCATTTATAGGCATGTCATGACTATATATAGGCATACAACAGTTCTTTGGTTAAAAAAAAACTATGTGATAATCTGTACAAGGCTTTAGCCTAGTACCACTGGTGGGAAAGAATTTTTGTTAAATTATGTTATATACCTTATACATAGATTCAAGGCATCTGATTGGTTAAGAAGGGTGCAATAGAAAGTACTACAGGTATTTCCGTGAAAAAGTACTATTCCCCTGAAAATTAGTACTTTTTAGGCTCTAGGCCCTACCATCGCGCTGATGATAGAGGGGACTGTGACCTCTACGACCAAAGAGATTGGCCCTTGACCACGCCACTGATCAGCGAGTAGACGATAAACAATAATTATGGAGGCTGTCAAACTCCTGGATGAAGAAGAGCTAGGCTAGGCCTATACTTCAAGACGAAGTCAATCGCAAAACACCAAAAGACAAATTAAATAATTATGTCTTGTCAATAGTTGAAAAATATTGCAAGACGATGGGTTAAAATTGAGAAAATGAGCAAATAAGAGCTAGACACGTTCTTTGATCACCTTATATAATAACTTGTTTTGCGAACCCGCCGGCCACAAATGATGATTTTGAATAAAAATAAACTTATATTTTTGGCCAATTAGCACACCCGACGCCACGAAAATGGAAATTTCAGGGAAAAAAAAAAAAACTTTATTTAATTTGTTTCCGCCCTCCTCTGACAATCTTTAAAAAACATAAGTTCGCGAAGCAAGGTTTAAAAAAAGCTTTGCCTTACCACTGATTGAATTAAGTTATTTTGAGTTGCTGTTTGACTTGGCGATGTCATAGGAGGTTGCATCTGGGGTCGAGGTGGGGGCATGGATACTGGACTTGTGAGGCCTTGCTGTTGTGGCATTACTGAAGGTATCTGTGGGAAGTTTGCGAATGGATTTTGGTTTGCTTGAGAAGATGCTGGCGAGTTCACACGATTGGCCGGCATCACAACTGGCCCACCAGTTTGTCCAGGAACTGCTGTTGGACCATCTGAAATTATATAAAAGGAATTTCTATTAGCATTTATCAGCGAAATTTACAGCTATGGGTTAGGCACTACCATTATTATTATTATTTTTTTATAATACACAAATAAATCCATGCATCTCCACTTACTCATCATGCCAATTCTAGAAGGAACAGTATGCGAGGACAGCATCTTTTGTGTAGCTTGAAGGGAAGGCACCTGAGATGGTGTAGGAGGCTGAGGAGAACCAGTCTGGGTCTGGTCCTGTATCCGTTTCATCCGCTTTTCTTCCAGTTCTTTTTGAATTTTATAAATTTTCTCAGCCAGAAGATGATAATACTCTTCCTGCACAAAACAGAATTAAACAAAAATTAAAGCTATCAAGTTATATGAAACAAATGCACATATTTCACTCATATGACATCCTCATGCCAATATATGGGTCAACCAAAGGTATAAATAGAACACCAACAGCTATACCCAGTATTGGATGGATAGGGTCTAGATAGCAGACAAACACACATAGGAAAATCCAAGGGCTTTATCCAACTTGGCCTAATGTAGTTTAGTTGGTAGAGCATTTGAAATGTAATTGTAAGGTCCAAATCCTAATGGAAAAATATATTTTCTCTAAAAAAAATGTCATCATATATAGATATGAACTTATTAAACAATATCTTATGGTGAAATATAGATGTATATCTATAAATTATATAAATACATAAACATATAATACATGTTATTCAAAATGATTTGACGTGTGCTGATTCTTACCCTGCTGCTAGCTGTTTCATACATATCTTTCTCAACTTTGCGTGCATATGCTACTAGATTCCCCATACGTCTATCTTTAACAGCTGCAGGGTCAGGGGAGGGGAATATTGCTTGAACTCTGTAAAGTACAAATAATAAGGACATTGACAGCTGCTGATAGTCTGTACGTGAGTGTAGTTTTATTTACTTTATCTGTAATCTTTTCATGTGTAATTATACATCTATTTGTATGTAACTTTAGTCTGACAAAGTTACTTTCATTTTCTATTCATATTCTTCATAAATATAATTTTACAATACTAATAAACTTAATAAATGCTATATTCACTTACATTGTTTATTTAAAAAATTAGTATGTTATAATGAAAATTGGAACAATATAATATAAAAATATTTCCTTGTCATTTAAACAAAATGATACAAAAAAATAATGATATAAAAAAAGACTTAAGGATTAAGTAGAAACTTACAATTTATGGACCAAATGATTACGAAGATCCTGAGTGACATGGCTATGCCATGGCTGCGACTTCGCTGCAGTCATAGATGCAAGGTTTCCAGTCGCACTCAGGACATCATCTGTGAATTTTAAAGAAAATTTCATGTCAGGAAATGCGAATTTTAAAGAAAATTTAATGTCAGGAACAGTAGAAGCCAATTTAGGGAGATATGGTTTCTGATTATTGTATTTTGCTACGCTATCTGACATCCATTACCAACTGACTGACTGTCAGGATGTCTTTGTCCACACTTCAAAGTTATGACAAATTTGTGTGATATGGACATGGCACATCATCCATGACATTTGTCGCATACATGTAAATAGGAGTGTGGTTAGAATATTATTCTCAAAGTGAGGTTGAAGCTTTGACAATACTAATTAACAAAACTAAGTTTGATATTTACTTGGCGTCATGCCTGTATTTCTCAATCCTAGCCGATCCAACGTCCGTGCAATAGATTCCTGCTGTAACATCGACGTCTGGTTCATATGTGAGCTCGGCGGTGGATTCGGTCCCATAGCTGGATTACCGGCAGCTTGCTTTAACAACTGGGCAGCTAAATAAATATAATATAATCATTGATTAATTTTGTGAAGGATGGTCGTTTCAGCAAAATTAGAATATGCTACCATGTAAACAACTATCAATTACAACATGTTCTTTTGATCAAAAAGATAGCACATTTGAGACTAAGTTAGCACACATACTAAATGTTTCAATAAATGATTAATTTAGTCCCTAAAGAGGTAAATTAATCATTATTCTACCAGAAGTACATGGCTAATCATGCTATTACATACATTAAAAAAACTGTTTGGCTACATTAGCAAAAAGCAGTAAATTAAACAAAAATTATGGTACTATATTTTCAGGAATATTTGCGAAATAAATCAGCAAATGTTTTTTGGTAATAAACCTTTGTCAAGCTAAAGATAAAATCAAAAAGTGTAAAATATATAGCCCAAGGAAGGACCAAAAAAGTGGCAGAATAGAGTAAAGAAGTGAGCAGAACAAATATAGTAGCCAATAAAAACATAAGGTATAAAATAATAATAATAATCATAAGAATAATAATTGTCTATACCTATAAATCTTTTTAAAGTCTACAAGATGTACCTTTTAACACCTTGTACCTAAGACTGTGCAATTCTGAAATATGTTGAATAAAAACATACACACACAAAATATAAACACCACATCCACTGAAACGTACATCCCCAACAAAAAAAATAAAATAGAACAATGTGAAGTACAATCCTACATTAATGGGGGCAACATTTTCTAGAGCCCATGCATTAGCTGTCTATACAACATCAATGCTATGCTTCAACATTTTGTCTTTCTATACATTCTCACTGCATGCAACAAAATGGGTGTAAAATGTTGAGGATCAGCAAGACAACTCACCTTGCGTCCGCGATCTGTCCGATGCATTTTTCAAAGGCAAGCAGACAGGACAGTCACTGCGAGTGCAGTTCTTCCAATGCGAGATTATCTGACGAGATGATGCACAGTGAGGTACTAGAAAGACAAAAAGAAATATTTTATAATATAAATGTGAGAAAGAAATAATAGATTCTTAGTTGAGGTATCACTAAAAAAAAAAAAAAAACAACACATGATAATAAAAATACTTTCAAATAAAACAATATGGACAAATTGAGAACCAAATACATAGGAAATATATAAACACTTATAGAAGTATGATCTCCTGAAAAAAATAAAATAAAAAACTGTTGAACAGATTTTTTTTTTTTTCAGGGAAGAATATATTTTTTATCTTTAAAATTTTAGAAAAATAGATAAATTATTCATTAAGAAGATTTTTGATCATTGAGCTCAATTTATGAATATGTATTATGAGTTAAATTCATGAATATGCATGAGTTTAATTCATGAGTATTTGATGTTAACCGACACAATGATAATCAACAAGCAAGCTCAGGTCAATAACAACGATACAGTCAATGAATTCAGCCTATTAACAACTCCACAGAACCTAGCCGTTGTTCACACACAAAAACAAGGATATAATTAATTAGTATTCAAGCATTTCAAAATCAAGATTACTATATTGTAGATCAACACCCAACTGATAAAGAATCAAAGATTCCTTTGTTCCAAACAGGACAACAATGAAAAGTACCAATACCTTAATAAGTAGTTTGTCATTTACTATACTATTTTATCATGCACACTATGCTTTCGGAATTTCTGAAGCATGAAAATCAGTAGAAAATTGGAACGCTTTGAGCCTTGTCTTTCTGGAATGTATTTTATCCTAAATACAAGGGCATTTCAATATTGCTGCTTTTTATAATTTCTAAAATTTCATTTAAATATTAAGGGGCATATTTATTTCTTTACTAATTTAGTGAACCAAACATTGAAAAGATGTTGGATTGAGTAGTTCTAAATGCACCAACATTTTTTTTTTACTTAACTTAAAATCACTAAATTAATCTACCAGTTTTATCCACATACCTTCTTAATTATTAACAATATTTCAATTTAATATAGTTTTCTATGTTATAAGGTATTTAATTTAGAAGTGATACCATTATTCCTTGGTATTATAAATGTGGAAACTTTCAATTGAATTCTATTTAATACTTTTTAATTTTTAATAATTTCACAATTTTGATCTAAAATATATATCGTTAAAAAAATTCATTGTCTAAAACCGTAATGAATCTTAAATTAAAATTAAGCATTTTAATATAAAATAATGGCATTATTTGTATGTAAATTCATGGTTGGCAAACTCTTAATAGGGATTGAGTTTCATTTTGTGGAAGCATGGCTTAACAGTAAGGCATTGGGCTTCCTATTAAGGAGTCAGAAGTTTTATTATGAGGTGAAGACTTTTATATCCTTGTCAAGATACTTTATATCTGCATTACTTCTCTTGTTACCCAGGTAATGGGTACCTGGTAGGACTGTCAAGTAAAAAACATTCAAATAAGGTTCAGTTAACTGTGGAATAACCTCTCCCAGATACTCACAGTTCAAAAAAATCTGTAACTTTGCATTCCTCCAAAAAAATTGATTTAATATAAAACTTTTTCTTCTTGGTTCTTGTGCTTCACCAAATTTCAATGGAATTTATATATAATTTTGTAATATTATTTTATATCTAAAAACATGTTTTGGCTGTTAACTGGACCTTAAGGAAGAACAATGTCAGAATGATTAAGTCTCCAGAATAAATATCTAAGTAGTCTATGTTAAATTAAACTTTTAATGTGATGGAATATACTTGACTTAATTCATTATGCTGCAAGAAATTTTAGTTGTTCCTAAGAACCTTATATTGTAAATTTTTTATACTTGTCAATTTTAATGTAATGCGCACTTAAATATTTCTTTTATGGAATTTGCGCAATATAAATTATTATTATTATGTGCAGATCTTTACAACTGTAATAGTTCTCCGAGAAGTAGAGAATATTGTACATGACTGCTTGAGAACAGAAACACTATTATTCAAATATATTAAACTTCAGTAAAATATAGTTTATATGAGCTTCCCTGGGAACATAATATAAAATGGGCTTTAATTCAATGTCAAAGTTTACACTACAATTTCCATCCTTCTTACCTGTGCAATTTTTGCCAGCCTGACAGTGCGTCATGTGGTTGAGGACATTTTTCATTGTCCTACAGTGTGGAAGCGAACATTGCTTGATGTCTCCGTTGGCCTGGCTTTCCCGCCGTTGGCACTTGTGTGCGTGCAGTAGGAGAACCAGTTGCTGCTGAATTAGCTTACGCTTTTCAGGATCAGCCGTTGGCGTCTGAGTTGCATTCTGGCCCATTCCAGCCGGTTGAGTTTGAGGCATGGTCTAAAAACACATGCACAAAATATATAGTAATCACGTATAATACATTATGATGCTGTTACTGACAACCTGGTTACTACAGTGTTTACTATTTTCAGAATGCAACACATGTACTAGGTACTCTTCAGACAGTATATAGAGGAGAGGTCAGTTAATCTGATGCAGTCTGTGTGTGCACTGAACCATAGAGAACAACAGATCAATCATTGCTCTTATTTCTCTCTACCCATGTGTAAAATGGGTACCTGGTAAAAAGGTGATGTAGTCTGTGAGCAAACTTTTCAACTCTTGAAGGTCAGACACTAAATTTTGTAAACATTCATTAAAAATTACAATATGTAAAGTAGTTCTTAATTATAATAAAATAAACGAAGGAAATATCTTACCATTCCGACAGTACCAGCCGGATTGAGGTTACCTCCCATATCATTGGCCATTCTTTGAGCTGCCTGTATATTTGTAGTCATCCCACCAGTCATGTTGCCCGCCATATTCTGTGGCGTCGTCATGTTACCGGTCATCACGCCCCCGAGCCCGCTGTTAATACTGTTACCCATATTGCCCGTCGACATGTTGCCGAAATTGCCGGTCATATTGCCTGGATTTCGACTCACCATGTTCCCCACCATTCCTGCCATATTCCCGGCAACATTGCCCGGCATGTTCCCGGTCATACCAGCCTGCATGTTCATATTCGGCATCATGGTGGACGTAGTGATGGTACTGGCAAATGAGTACTGCATCATATTCATAGCTGGTACTACATTGGAAGCAGAGGAAAAGTGAAATGGACTGTTGCTGACCTGTTGACCCATCTGCCCAGCGTTGCCTGGCATTCCAACCTATGTAAAAACAAATATATATCAGTCAATTTTATGAATATTCATTAAGGTAAAACCAAGGTACTTTTAAACGGCTACACAAAACTCATCTGTTTAATTTGTATTTTGCTTAAAGCTGGATTTTTATTTATAAAGTAAAGTGCAATGAAACTTTCAGCAAAATGCGCTCAATCTAGATTAAACTATTATTTATTATTATTATTATTATTAAAGAAGTTAATTTTTAATTATCTAAATAAACACAAATAATATGCTGTGAATACAAAATCTTATGATGATAAAATACCACCTCAAATTGCTAGTTTTTGCTTTTCCCATTGTTAATCATATCAATAAATATAACACCTAAACACTAATAACTACAAATGCAATTTCAATATATAATATTTACAGAAACTGAAAAAAGACTACTACATTAATTTGTTCCACAACAGCAGTTCAACAAAAACAAAATCCTTACAATCTCTTTAAAAATAAAACTGATTGTCACTAAAAACTTACAATAATATTAATCTAAAAATTATATACTGTAGTATTTATTACAATATATACTATAGCAGAACTTTGCATTTTCATTATTGTACACAGACTAGGTATTAATATTTAACTGATAATAAATGTATAATTCAATCATATTAACTTTAAATAAAAACAAAATCTGAACCTTTTTTACTGACGAGGATGAAATGTTAAAATAAAATAAAATTCAAGATGAAAATTATAGAGTTGGACTATTAAACATGTTTTCCATACTTATAATATAAAATCAAAAAAGTAAGTATGTGAATAATAGTCAAAAACAACACTTGATAAACAAAGAAACCGTGACATACTTGTTATAGTACACAAAGAAGAGGAAATGGCCAATTAATTGGCTTTAACTTGGTGTATGTAAATAAGGTACATAACACGCTTCAACTCCAAACAGCTCAGTCAGAGAGTAACTAGCAAATGATAGCTATGGTAAGCACCAAGTGTAACAGCTACTGCTCTACCAATGAAAATTAGTCAAACAGCCTCTTGCACTTTTGGCAGAAACCCTTGGTTTTCAAATACAATTAACAGTGATCGCTACAGTAGGTAACTTACAGTAAGTACAGTAGGTGAAAAATTCAATCACTGAAACAACTACATTACTACAGGCAAGACTTTTTTATACCTTGTTTTGGATACTTATTTTCTTAAAGATCGTCAGAGTAGGGCAGAAAAAAATAAAAATAAAACTTTGTTTTCTAATTTATAGCAAACAGCATTGCCAAAAACATCCAAATGGAGGAGAAAATAAAAATAAAATTTTATTGGCGAATGTAAACAGTGTAGTAATGGGATGGTTAAATGCTTTAAATTTATAATATTAACTAGAAAGGATATAAATATATTTTTGTGGTAGATTTCAAAGCAGCGGCAGGAGAAATAAAAGTAAAGGAAATTTTTTTTTCCAATAAATGAACATCGTTTCAATCTATGCCTGGTTAAGACTTTATGTTTTGTTATTTTTTTCCCCAAGTCATTAAACACTACTTAAAAGGAGCATTGCCTCACACTGAACACATATAGTAGCTGAATTTTTATGAACAAATTTACCACTAAAAATGTTTCAGTTGGGAGAACACTGAACAGCTCATGAAAATAACCACTATTTTGTCCACTTACTTTGGCCTAAATCAAATCAAGATTACATTCTTTAGGAAAAGAGTAGTGTTTGCATATCATTTTCCATTATCATCATTCTTCAGAGTCCTTTTATTCACAACACAGATTTTTATAATTTTTTTTGTATTTTGCATGCGACAATACATCTTAACGTAACTCAATACTGGGATGTATTTTCCTTTTCTTTATGAAGTTTATCATACATGATATATAAAATAATAACTAAGATAATATAAACATCTTAAGATTACTTAAATAATGACAATAACATAATACAAAAATAATATGGTAGAGAGGTTTGATTGACAAATTGTGTCGGTTTTTTGTTCTATTTGCTTTTGTTTTTTATAACGATATAATTACTATAAAAAGAAAAACAATAAAAATAACTAATTTAAATTATAACAATAACAAAAATATAACAATCATTATTAGCAATACTGCATTATACTGACAATAACAAAAATAGTTATAACTTCAATAATAATAAGGTGAGTTATAATGAAAAGGATATGCATCATCCTAATAGATGTTCTAATTCAAAAACTGTTTAGTATTTAATGTTTAGATACAAAATATTACATCACTATTATTATGATCATTACATTTTGTTAAATTACAGATTGAGTAAATACTGCTTTGCAGAATTCTTCACATAATAAACATAACCTTATTTATAATAGAATACAGATAATTTTATTACATTCAAATTTACCTGGTTACTCTTAGATTTATTTTTTTTAAATCAAAAATGATAAATTGGATCTGGCAAATGATTCACATATAGTACTTATAATACAAAATTAGAATATTTTTTCCATTGTATTCTAAAATCTATTCTTAAAAAATTTAAAAAGATTAGTATCTATATGTTTTGCTAAAAAGCAATATTTGAGCTGCATTACTTATTAGCATCGAATTGAAACATTTTCTATTCTAATAAACAAAAAACATAAATAATTATCTTTCTATATATTTTGTAAACACCATTATGATAATTGGCTGGTAATTGATTAAGAATGTTCATCATAGTAAAGATTTGCAAATAAGTAAAAACTAATTTATTTTAAAGTCAATTCTTAGTGGATGTTCATAATTTATCTTTTGAATGAATACTTCAATATTGTACTGTAACTGGTTTAAGGGCTTCCCAGTAAGAAACACACAGTTTAATGGCTAATAAAAAAATAACAACTGAATATCTTTTTATATATACAACCTAACCACACAGGTTATATACCAACTATATCCAATGTATAATATTGTTCAATTTTAAGTAATTTAAGTAACTATAGCAACAACAAAAACAATAATCAAAACTATAGTAAAATGTAAATGAATGTGAATATGAAAAGAAAACATATGAACGTAGGATTTTAGCATTTAATGTTACATTAAACTATTTATAATTATTGATGCCTATTCACAGTGTAATTATATCAACTACACTGTACAATACAGTACATGTTTCAAATTTTATTTCTCTCACGCTAGAATTTCAAAAAACACATGCACAATTATTTCTAGACACACCCACTTATTAGTGTGCTCTGATTGGCCAAATATTTTTACTTGATCATCATCTAGTTCCTGGCAAGTTATTTAATTTGGATAGTGAAATATATTCATGGACTGCCATAAATTCACACCTAATTTATAGGTTAGTAATTAAAGTATACATTTCAACATTTGTCATCCTTTAAAGCAATCGAAATAAATTCTTGTTGACTATTAATTATTGTAACTAAACCCACAAAATTAAGCAATCTGATTATATTGGGAATACTGAAAAGTACATCTACCGATCCACTACACGTATACATTCTATTTTCTGGTAAACAATTAGTTTTGATTTCGAAATTTTTCCAAGGGCATTTGCTGACGACTGCCCTTAAATAGAAAACATAAGGTCAAATAATCCCTTATATTGTTTGCGTCTACTGCTGCTTCATGTAATCGTAACAGTTAGTAACCACAATTGAAGGGAATTCCCCATTTCCTTGATTGGTTAGGTTTGACCGTTGCCTATTGAACTTTACATAAACATACACAGAGTCCATGCTGAAATAAAGGCACATGGGTTGAATGTGAATACAGAACGAACTCATCTATATTACCATTAATGTATCATCTGTAATTACTTTCCACTAATTCCTTTACAAATACTGTACAAACACAAAATGACTTTAAGGTTAAAGAATCAACATGTTAATAGCAGATTGTCAACAGCATAATTTTAGATGTGCAACTAGAAGTGTAGCATGTAACAGGCTTTGTCTTAAATTTTAACAGTAATTATAATTATTGGCCAGCAACTTTAGAGAAAACTACTTAAGTTATCTTGTTTAATTCCGATGAATACAATGTGTACTATATTTATGTGGGTGTAAAACAAGAGGACCAGAGATCTAACTTTTCATCCACCTGCTACTAGAATATGACTTACTGTAAACTACAGATATTTCTCTGACGTGCCGTAGTGTATTAAGATAGCAAAACTGAAATTTAAAGCTAGGCTCAGGGTAGCTCCACCAATCAACACCAATCAAACCTCAGATTTACGCAAGGTTGTCGGAACAATATCCAAATATCCATGGCCTATAAATTATTTACAGCAAGTATGTCAACGTAAGTGTGCATTATTAATTCATTTCTTACTAAATTAGTAATTTTGTTTTTTTCTGGACGCGATTACAGTTGAATTGGCAGTTTCAACTTTGGTCTTACTCACACCACCAACTATGTTGTTTGCTTTGTTTTGCTTTGATAACCCTCAGAACTTATGTACCTGTCATGCTGAGTGTTTTGTGGGATTCTTATATATTTAATTTTAATCATTTACTTATTACTCTTTATCAAAACAAGAGTTCACTATGTTTTACCTACAGTACAGACACAAATTATTGCTTCATATCTGCGCGTAACCTCTTGTAATCTGCTCGTAGGTACGTTTTGAACGTAGCTACGAACCACTACGAAGGTCATTGTTATTTTAATTAACTTTGTAATGATCACAGGCTGGATCGTCGGGCTGATAAACAATGCGTAAACAATATTGAAATATAGTTTACCAGCTTTCAACATGTGAGCAATGTTGCAATTTACTAATAAACAATGTTAGAACTTTATTGTTTTGTTATATCCTACCTTATTATTAGATCGATCATGTTTTAAAACTGTATTTAGTTCGCTAGCCAGGTAACTTAGTGGGCATTCAGTATGTTCGAATTTCGATGTCATTTAGGCCTATGTACGGCCTACATTTTCCCCTATTAGGAGGAGAGCAGAGAGTATATAGTAGGAATTTTCTTCTTTTAAATAATAATATCGATGACAAATCATGTACAAATTATTACGATTTCTACAGATCACGTTGTTTATTGTTTACTGTAATTAGAAGCAGAACCTGCAAAGCGATCCAATACTAAATGGAAGTATAGAAATCACTACCTTGCCGAATTAAGGCTAGTCATGCTAGACTGCATTTCCTTCGTTTTTTACTCACTGTCGCTCACAGCTTTTCAACATTTGCCACGAGGTTAACCTTTAACACACTTTACTGTGTTCTGATTGGCGCGCTCTCCGATGTCTGATGCTGGCTAAGTTTTATTTTCCATTGGGTTTTCCATGTGACGTTCGGTAATTTTACAACCAACGGACGTTAATTCTCATTTATATCTATCTTACTAAATCAAGACTACAAATATTATTTGATGAACAATCTTTTCACATGTGTGTATTGTCATTGAGGACATCATTTTTTGACATTTAAAAGAGGTAAAATAATTGTAAATGAAAAATAAGCTAGGCCTAGGCTAATTAATTAAAAAAAATAATACAGCAGTACAAACAAGTTCCTGTTGTGGACAGCGAGTGGAAGAGGAGTCTCCCATGAAGTCAAGTGTACGTTTTTCTTAATGAAAAACAGCTCCATACTTTAAATCAACGGTCTAAACTCGTGTCTGTCATTCACAAATTATCTAGCAATACATTGTTTATTCCAGTAAGCTACAGCAGTCTTTCTGCACATACAAATAAACAACATGCTTTTGCTCCGTAGGTTTGCTTCGCGTAGCCTTGCTTAGATTGTTTATATCAGGCTACAATGTATCTACGAAGTCTGCGTGCAGGTAAAATTGCAATATTTCGTGGCAGTACTGTAGCACATATTTTAAGGGGAAAAAAAAAGAATATCACCAGCATCTTTAACACCAAGTTTATCCAAAGTCAGGTCTTCCTTCAATTAAAGACCACTCTTTTTTTTTTTTGGGACTGGAGTTTTCATGGTCTTTATTTAGAAAAATGATTTTTATGAAAATAAAAGATAAACATTCATTCGGGACTTGAAAATTGTGGTCTTTAAACCTGTACTTTGAATATTGTATATAAGATTTTGAAACCTGCATATAAAAAATTATATAAAATGCTACATACCTTGGCCATGGCTGCTGGATTAACAGTCATACTTTGCATGTTACCCATACTATGCTGCTGTGGCTGAGGAACTTGTGACATGGTATTGGCTAAGATATTAGAATTTGACAATATACCACCAGCACTGACATTTGCAGTCCTATTTACTTGTTGTGTTATGTTCATGTTGTTACTCATTTGATATGGGCCGTTCATAATTAAGGGTTTCACCTTGTTCACGCTTCCACTTAATACGCCTCCTTGGCTTGCAGTAGCCACATTCGTCGTGGTCGGTGACACCATCGTGTTCGTCATGCTTGAATTGATCATGCCTGCCATATTCAGTTTAGTTTTCTGCTGGCCAGCGTTAGGCAAGCCCACACTCGGTGGTCTAGGTGAATTCATATTATTAGGCATAGGACTATTTGCACTGTTCATATTAGGGCTAGCATTAACAGAATGAGCTGGGTGCATTTGGGTTGGAGCTGGGCTAGTACCAGAGTTTGCATTCACATTGGAATTAGAAGTATTGGAGGACACACCCCCGACAGTTCTCGCTGGAGTTGCTAGCAGCTGAGAAAGTTGCTTGTTTTTCTTAATTGTGTCTGATGGAGTGTCCTGTACTGAGGGCACCGACGTCTGAATCGTGCCATTCGACTCATTTTCAACTCCGGTTGGATTATTTCCAGTGTTATCTCCAACTCCACTTTGTTCAATCAGGTCGTTTTGTAGGTCGTCAAGAAGACCAAAAAATTCTGGGGAAAGAAAAAAAAAAACAACAATATAAACAATCAGAAATTTTAAAATCATGTAACAATCCAAATTTTAAACAAAACAATCACTTTTAAAACTGTTTTATCATGATCCTCATGCTGTTTTTAAATTAATAGATCAAATTTTAAGATGTACTACAGTTAGCTAAATAAATAATCATCAAAATACGAAAACATTGAACAATGGTTAAAAACACTTGCAAGTAATATTTGAATCAGAAGCCTACAGTAAACGTTATTTTGATAACAAAGTATATTCAAATTTTAAAAAAAATCAACCGCAACTTTGAAGGACAATGGCAATAAATTTCAAGCAAGATGACAACAATTGAAAAATGAACAAAATTTTCAACCAGTTGACCGAACTTTCAGAGTTAAATAATAAACTGTGTTTACTGTACATAGTGCCTAATGATAGATCACAGATCATGAAAATCTTCATTTTTACACAAAGTGAAATAACAGGAAACAAATTATACAAACTGGTAAATTTAGGATAATCTACATAAATGGGCAGAAGTTTTGAACTTGGCTTTTTACTACTACTCTTAGAATTACTGATATACGAATGATGTGTACTGGAAAATCAAACAAATTGACTGAGTTAATGGGTTTTTCACAGAAAAACATTACTAATGTTTTCGTTTCAAAAGCACATGCCTACATGTTTTGAACTGTAGTTCAAGGTTCATCAAAACATCTTTCATGAGTATTTAGGAGGAACTCACTTTTTCAAGGAGACAACAAAATACTGTCTGTTGGCAGTGGGCATGAGCTATGCAAATGCCACATATATATTATTATTAGGCATAAACCATAGAATATTGTGACCAAGACATTCACAATGACTACTGTAGGCCTAGGCCTACTGCTAGATTACAGTGTCACTCAGTAGGCCTGATGTACATTGATTAGAAACCAATCAGACTGTAATAATAATATAACAGGCCTAGGCCTATACCTATTAAGTTAGCCTACCTAGGCCCAGAGGCCTAACTCAGCTGGGCCTAGCTATTCACCCATTAAAAACACAACAAAGTCACAAGTGTGGTGGTGGTGTTAATATAGTCACAAGCCTTTAGTCAGTAAATGTACTTTGTTGTTCGTGTCTTCTAGTTATAAATATCAGTGACAGAAATTTTGACTGTAACGGTGTAAATAAGTAGACAAATACAAAAAAAAATGAACAAACAAAATATAGCTAGGGGCCTACAAGCGGAAAATCTCAGATCCAGTCCCACTTATGACGATCAATCAGTCTACGGACGGTACGGGTATGGTGCCAAATTTGGAAAGCCCCACTAAAAAAGATCAATGCCCGTGTTGTTTATCCCTGTATAGCCTAGGCTACTCTCTATGAAATCGGCATGGTTTGAAAACTGAGACATTGCTCCCTGAACTATTTACATAAATCATACATTTTTGTAGCTTATAAATACTTACCAGAATTTTCACTAGGTGTTACCACTGATGACATCTTCGGCCGTTTGTTTGGTGGGCCTCCTTCCACCAAATGGTCGGCCATCATGAGTTTAGCCGTGCCGGTAAATAATACAATAAATTAGTACATATAATATTAACGATACAATAACACTGCAAACATTATGCAGCCAATTTATGAGTTCAGATTCTCTGGAAAGTGTTATCCCCACTGTTACCTAAGTCATCCTATTATCTTCTTGAATACAAACTATCGGTCGGTATATCCTTCAAGGCTCACACACAAAACGCGCTTCTTCACGAAATACACTGGCTCGATCAGGTGCTTCCCGTTACATCATAACGGGACATAATTTCCAAAAAGGTAGTGTCTAACCACAGCCAAAAGAATACATTTTACATACAGTCTGCTTCAACTAATTCTTGAGCAGTTTACAGAGGTAAATAAATATCCTTTTAGTTGAATATTCCTCTGAAAATCGTAGCAAAATGGCGGCTGTTGATGAAACTTTTCTACGCTTGTCACAGACCTAACAAGGGAAGCTTCCGAATATTCCCGAAACCGAAATATAATTTATTCATACTTCCTCTCGCCAACACAAAAGCACGTGGTACCCGTTCTCACTGTCTATTGGTCTTTTGCCGAATAGACCGCTTGTGATTGACAGCGCAGTGCAATTCGTTTTTTGCCGGAAGAAACCGTAAACGTTCGGTCGTAAATAAAAAGCATGATGGGAAGCTTTAAATGTACCCACAGGCCATCGCGAAACCCTTTAACCTTTGACACTCAGCTGATGATATTGTTGGGAAGATTGGTGTAGGCCTATGTAAGAAGTGTCTTATATTCCAAAGTTTTGGTTGTGGTCCTACTTTTCATTTTTGATAACCTTGCATTAAATTTAGCTGAGAAACATTAAGTATTTTCCAACTTTTACACAGTGTTTAAATTATGATTTTAAATTAATGTTGATCAAAAATTCCATTTACATCAATAAACAGAGACACTGTTTTGTTATATTTAAATCCCCTGGGATTAAAAATTGCACTTTTCTGAAATTAGAAGTATGGAAAAGCATATTTATCAAAATTTTGAAAATTTTATATCATTTTTAATTTTTACATACCTTTTAAAATCAATACTGTGGTTTAAATTGATGATCACACTGAAGTTATAGCAGGGCGGGTTAGGCATTAACTGAATGATTCAAAATATATATAAAGATCAACCCTAAATCTTAATTCAGTAATAGGTAGATGTATATATATAGAACCTGGCACTTTTTTAAAATCAAAGAACCCCTGTCTTCCACTACCCATCCTCAAATAGGCATAGAATGGGCCATGTCCTCATCTTTCCATGTTCACTTCCTGAGGTTTTTTTTTAATAAATGGTTTCTGATTTTAGTTTTATACTGAATTAAGTGTTTATATTTTTAATTTCTCACTTTCATGATATTTTGTACTTTTTTCTGTAATTATGAGCAATAGGTATGTAGGCCTAGTAAATAACGATAACTCAGATATTACTTTTCAGTTGCTTCAAGCCTACTGACAAACGAGCAGATCACTTTTTCCTTCATATAGAGTTCAAATTTTAAAATATTTCTGACATCTATGCAGTGATACCATTTATTTCCAGTTTTATTCTACAGGGAACATAGTTTTTGTTAGCCTAGTGAAAAAAAAATAATTGGGACGTCTCTGGAAATTAATCGCGTGTTAGGATTTAGAGGTTTATTCCAGATATCTATTGACTGTGCCGCTATTTTTGGATTTGTTTTTTTCATTTGTTTATGACTCTATCAAATAAATCAATTAAATAAAATCAAATATATCTGAAGACTAAACAAAATAATTTTTCATAGCCAGAAGTCAGTTACAGTGCAACAAATGATTTTGCATATCGTATTAGAACTCACATGCAGAATTTGGATTTGCGGGCTTCTAAGAAAATATGAGAGTTACTATGTCCAAAAAATTGGTCACACAGTCCTTTGACAAAGATTCATACCGCCAACATTTAGTCTAATGTCTACTGACAAACGGGCAGATCACTTTTTTCCTCATATAGAGTTCAAATTTTAAAATATTTCTGACATCTATGCAGTGATACCATTTATTTCCAGTTTTATTCTACAGGGAACATAGTTGTTGTTAGCCTAGTGAAAAAAAAATAATTGGGACGTCTCTGGAAATTAATCACGTGTTAGGATTTAGAGGTTTATCCCAGATATCTATTGACTGTGCCGCTATTTTTGGATTTTTTTTTTCATTTGTTTATGACTCTATCAAATAAATCAATTAAATAAAATCAAATATATCTGAAGACTAAACAAAATAATTTTTCATAGCCAAAAGTCAGTAACAGTGCAACAAATGATTTTGCATATCGTATTAGAACTCACATGCAGAATTTGGATTTGCAGGCTTCTAAGAAAATATGAGAGTTACTATGTCCAAAAAATTGGTCACACAGTCCTTTGGCAAAGATTCATACCGCCAACATTTAGTCTAATGGTTAATTTACCCAGTAGTATGGGTATGCCTGCCTGGAACATAAATGATTTTCAATTAAATTAGATTTGTGTTGAATCATCTTTCAACATTATTACTTACGATTATCATGATTAGGCCTACGATAATAAGATACACTACAATAATAATTGAAATTTTATTTTGGCAAGAATTTTTTTTTTAACTTTAGCAAACCAGCCGCCCACCAATGATGATTTTGAATAGAATTAAAATTTTATTTTTCGCCAATTAGCATATCCGCCGCCACAAAAAAAACAAAATTAATTATCAGAAAAAATTAAAAGTTTATCTATATTATTATCATTATTACGCCCACTGCTGCCTTGAAATCTCCACAAATAAGATATGTTTATTTTTTCATAATTACCAGTATACACATTTAAAGCATTTAACCATCGCATTAATACACTTACATAAACAATAAAATAAAATTTTTATTTTCTCCTCCATCAGGATGTTTTGAAAAAAACAATTTGAAGAAGATCTTTTTATAAGTTTGCGAAACAAGGTATAAAAAAGGCTTGCCTTAATCACGGACACACTTGTTGACCTCAATTGGGGTTTTCAACACCAATGTAAAGAGACTGTCATGCTAAAAAATGTGAAAAATTAAATTCCTTATTTGAATTAATTTGTATATTTAAATAAAAATTTATTATCTTACAATTGAAAATTTGAATGTGAAGGCAATTTGATTCTTATTTACTTTATTTTATCTTATTCATAATTATTCATTTCATTTTTTTTTGTTCTTATTTATTCTTATTCATATCTCGAAGATGTAATGTCCCATGCAAAATACCAAAAAAAAAAAAATCAATCATTTTGGAAATAAACTTGCTCATTCAATATTTGATTTAATTTGTATATTTAAATAAGTTATTATCTTACAAATCAAAATTTGAATGTGCAGAAAATTTTATTCTTTTTTACTTTATGGCATATGAGGGCGCTGCATAGTTGTTGCCACGCCTGAGAATTTTGTCCTCAGAGTTGGTTGTAATTTTTCGCTGTTTTTCGTTGTTAATGTATTCTAAGTTTATTGTTGCTATATCAGACCTTTGTTAGAATATTGCTCCCAGGTTTGGCACAGCTCAATCACCAAATACCAATGTCTGAAACTTGAACGTGTCCAAAAAAAGGCCTGCCGAATTATTTTAGGGCAATGCTACCACTCATATAGTAGATGTCTACTTACTCTTGATCTTAAAACTCTCGAATCAAGAAGAGACATACTATTGTTGAAATTTGGTGAACAACTTTTGAAATCTGATAAGCATAGGCATCTACTACCTCCACACCCCCCCCCCCCTAATGTTACTTGTACTAGAACCTTAAGGAAAAGCAGTACTTCATTACTTATTGAACCAGGATGTCACACAGAGAGACTAAAAAAGTTAACAATACCTACTGTAACTCACCTCTTAAATATCAGCTTTCAGAGTGGACAGAAATAATTTGGTCACTTCCTCATTTTGTATGCCTTTCAAAATGAAAATTTTCTTTTTTGTGTGTGTAAAATGTACTTTTATATTTTGTAACTTTAATTTCTAAATTCTAAAATATATTTGTAAAATAATAATAATTTAATGAAAATTGCAATATTTCGATCTGTTAAATAAACTAATGAAATTGATAATGTATAAGAATACTGATAACAGGAAATGTGCAATAGTTTACTGTATAAATATAATTTAAACTTTACCAACTAAAATTTAATGATAATAAAGTGACCATCTTTTGTATTTTTTATAATTTATGATAATTTGACCTTTTTATTTTTTTTTGTAATGAATTGTATTTATAATGTTTCTTAGCTTTTGTTTTTTGCTGTTTTGCATTTGTAAATAATTTTTTGTGAATAGGTTTTGTAATGCAAACCATTTCAGCTTCGGCTGTTGTTTTTGTAATTGTTTTTTATATGTTATACCTGAATAAATAAATAAATAATTTATTTTGTCTTATTATTATTCAATTTTTTTTGCTTGTATATAAAGTAATCAAATTCATATCTTAACAATATATTGTCCCATGCAAAATACCCCCCCCCCAAAAAAAAAAATCGTAATAATCATTTTTTAAATTAACATGCTCATTCAATATTTGGATTAATTTGTATATTTAAATAAGTTATAATTCAAATTTTAATGTGAAGACAATTTATTCTTATTTACTTTATTTTGTCTTATTCATTATTATTCATTTTCTTTCTTTTTTTTTTTGGTTCTTATGTACAGTATTCATATTCAAATCTTAAAGATGTATACCAAAAAAAAAAAAATTATAATAATCATTTTTGAAATTAACTTGCTCATTCAATATTTGAATTCATTTGTTTATTTAAATAAGTTATTATCTTACAATTCAAAATTTGAATGGGAAGGCAATTTTATTCTTACTTTATTTTATATTATTCATTCCTATTCATTTCCTTTTTTTGTTCTTATTTATTCATATCTTAATGGATTCATCAAATATACTCATTTACAGACAGGTCATGAGCCTAAAAGCCATGCTTTCTTTAGGCGTGACTTTTTCATAACTTGATTCAGAAACCGCCGACTGCAAATATCGATAATTTCGAATAAAAATAACATTTTATCTTTGGCCAGTTAGCAAACTCGCCGAAAAAGTGACAATTTTAGAAAAAAAAAATTATGTTTTTACTTACTTTAATTATGCTCTCCGCTGCCTTGAAATAGATATGTAGTATTTCTTCCTAATTATATATATTTGGAGCATTTAACCATCCTATTTTATATTCATCGATAAACTTTTATTTTCATTTTCTCCTCCATCTGGATGATTTTGGCAAAACTGTTTGCTAAATAAGAAAACAAAATTTTATTTTAATTTTTATTTCGCCATCCTCCAATAAGCTTTAAAAAAATAAGTACACGAAACAAGGAATAAAAAAGTCTTGCCTTGTGACCTTTTTCATGTTGTTATATTAGTAAAAAATATATTTAATTTACTGTACATATTTTTACATTGATATTTTGATATATCATTA